GGTTTAGGGTTTAGGGTTTAGGGTTTGGGGTTTGGGGTTGAGGGTTGAGGGTTTACGTAGGGTTTGGGGTTGAGGGTTTAGGGTTTGGGGTTGAGGGTTTAGGGTTTGGGGTTGAGGATTTAGGGTTTGGGGTTTAGGGTTTGGGGGTTTGGGTTTGGGGTTGAGGATTTAGGGTTTAGGATTTGGGGTTTGGGGATTAGGGTTTAGGGTTTGGGGTTTAGGGTTTGGGGTTGAGGATTTAGGGCTTGGGGTTTAGGGTTTAGGGTTTGGGGGTTAGGATTTAGGGTTTGGGGTGTAGAGTTTGGTTTCTTGGGGGGTGCAGGATTAGATCGGTGGTGTAGATGTTGGCTCATTGGGGGAGACATTCGTAGAATATGCCTAGACCAGGTTCGTATAGGCTGTTTAGGGTCTTGACGTCTTGCTTCCCCAATAAGCCAGGGAAATAAAAGCCAAACTTTCAGATTACCGCGAAGTTATAAGAACCCAAAAAGTTTAAAGGTTGGGTATTGGGGAACTACCCACAGGCCCCATAGTAGTTCCTTTTTGGGATTACTTTATAGGATTCTAAACTTTAGGGCCTATGGGTAAGATATTTCCTTCACAGGTTGCTTTGGAGATGGTTGAGTTTGAAAGGCCGCACGTCTTTCGTTTGTTCTCTGCGGGCCTCTTCATGGCTTGAGGGCGCGGGATGTAGAAGTCAGGATTAGGGTCTAGGGGTTTGGGGGTTTAGGGGTTTGGGGTTGAGGAGTTCAGGGGTTAGGGGTTTAGGGGTTTGAGGTTTAGGGGTTTAGGGTTTCGGGTCGACGAACGGCTCTCCTGCCCGAAACATCAAAAGAACCGCAGGCGGAGGTCTTGAAACTCGAAGCTAGAAGCCACCATCAATGCAATCTTCTCCCCAGGCCGTATGTCTCTAAAGCAAATTAACCCTGGGACTGAAAATTGCAATCTAAATCCGGCAGCCTGATGTAGGGGCCTTAATAATTCCCCTCGGCCCCCGGCCGAAGCGGTCAGAGGCCTATTCGGACTTCCTGTCGCCCCCCCCGACCCCCCCCCCGCCCCCCCCCTCCGCCCCTCCCCCCCTAGCCCCCCACCTCCCTGCCTTGCTTCCGCTTTTGCGCCGCAGCAAGTTGATGCGCGCCTCTGCTTGTTTGTACGCAATCTCCTCCCCTTCCCCGGTGCCGCTCCGCCAACGGCGCCTTCAAGGCACCAGCAGTTCGTTGGCCCTCTTTGTTTGCGGCCGGGACGAGGCGGACGACGCGAAGGGTTTAAAATTAGAATAGGCTTTGGGGGAGTCCTTAGAATATAATATGTCCCCAAACCCTCTTCTAATTATTAAGGCCCCTATCATAATTACAATATAATATAATATATCCCAGAAAAACGATTCTAAGTATGAAGGCCCCTATTACAAGTATAGCATAATTTATCCCCCAACCGCATTCTAATTATTAAGGCCCCTATATGATCACCCTTATGGAGCTCCTCCTATAGAACCGGTAGGAGCCTTTTGCAGCTTCTCAAAGGACTCAAAGTTTAAGGCTTTTGGGTCCCAAAAAGCCTACGGTGTAGGGTTTAGGGTTTAAGGCTTTTGGGGTCCCAAAAACCCCTACGTTTTCAGGCTTTTGGGCTATTTTGATGCTAAGGGTAGTGCATGATCAGACAGTTGATGGACAAAATCCTGCATGACCTAAGTATAGTATAGCACCATAATTCCCATAGTTTAGGTATATAAGGTCATGCAGGATTTTGTCCATCAACCGTTTCAGGGACTATGACCAAGTAGAAGCAACTCTATACCAAGCTCGCAAAAACAAAAACACTCCAGCATAGACAACTCCCTCGGCCGGCAAATCCCACTCCCCGCAGCACCTCCAACTTCTCTCTGCGCTGTTCTTCGGCTGCACGACCTTTTTTCGGGTCCATAGTCATGAGTTTAGGATAGTTTAGGGTGTAATTCGGGTTTAGGGTTCAGGGTTTAGGGGTTGATGTTAAGTCTGAGACTTAGGGTTCAACTAGGGCTTAGGGAATTTTAGGGTTTAGGGTTCAGGACTTGGGGTTTGGTCTCTCTCTCGAGAATTTCCGGGGCTCTACGAATGTGAGCTTCAATTTGCTTGACCTCAACCCTAAACCCTAAACCCTAAACCCTAAACCCCTAAAGCCCTAAAGCCCTAAAGCCTAAACCCTAAACCCTAAACCCTAAACCCTGAACCCCTAAAGCCCTGAAGCCTCAACCCAAAGGGTGTCGGCCTCAACCATGCTACCGAAAGAAGGCTGCAGAAGATTTCGGCAAGGCGGACCCGCCTTTACAGTAACACTTCAAGGGTTTAGGGTTTAGGGTTTAGGGTTTAGGGTTTAGGGTTTAGGGTTTAGGGTTTCGGGTTTCGGGGCAACCCAGGCCCAAGCCCTAAACCATGTGGGAACTCTGAGCTAGACCCTAAACCCTCACACCCACAACCCCAAACCCTAAACTCTAAACCCTAAACAACCCACAACCCCAAACCCCCAAACCCTAAACCCTATAAAAACCCTAAAGAACCCTCAACCCTAATCCCTAAACCCTAAACCCTAAACCCTACCCCTAATCCCTAATCCCTAAACCCTAAAGAACCCTAAAGAACCCTAAACCTCCAAAGGCGATGCTCCACGAATTTTATCGCTCCCTTCCTCGTCGATGCGGGGGCGGATGCCCATAGGCTCCAGGATGGGGAGCTTGAGATCCCCGTACCGTCTCCTTTTTGTTGCTTTTTTTGTTTCGGGGGTTTAGGGTCTCCTTTTAAGGGGTTTTGGGGGGTTTTGGGTTTAGGGGGTTTAGGGATTTAGGATTTAGGGTTTAGGGTTTTGGGGATCCCCTCACCGTCTCCTTCTCAGGCCTTGAGGGGTTTAGGGTTTTGGGTTTGGGGGTTTTGGGTTTAGGGTTCAGGGTTTTGGGGGTTTCGTCTCTTTTTTGTTGCTTTTTTTGTCTAAGGGGTTTAGGGTTTGGGGCATAAGTTGTGGAGCTGGGTT